TGTTCTTTTACGCAGCTTACAAGATTAGTAATGTGAGCGTGGTGTGTATAATGATGAAACATTTACAACGGATCCAATCAGAGCACTGTGCACTGATACAATTCTTGTGATGATAATCCGTAAAAACGAACCTGAAAAACACCCCAAACAGGAGGAATGCACTTAGTAGCCCCCTGCTGTTCAGCCAGAATGATGCCAAAAAGTTGTAGTGCGCGACTGAGCCACTTGAGTGAGAATACAAAACTGGGGAGCCCTGCGGGGTATCCTAATAGCTGATTGGGCTGGAATTGAACTCACACAGTCCGTTTGTGTAGGGTAAGAATGTATGTGGATTGCGTGGGGTACGCCTCGGAACTACGGAATCAGGCTCCTTTAGGATATAACGAATAAGAAAGTGTTTCTGGAAAAAAATCAATGAACCCTAGGAAAAACAGTTGTTTTGTGTTTTAATTAAAAAGCGATTAGAAACTTCTGAATTACGTAATAATCGTAAAGCACGGGCATCCCAATTTATCCGTTTGCCACCCGTTGCATAAAAGGTAAATAATCAACGAAAGAGAAACATTGCGCGATATGGGGGATTGCCCCGGACAGCTTCCTCCCCAGGAACCGCTTTTCCGGGATGGCCCGCAGCGCCAAAGCTGTAAGAAATGCAGTCCTGGGGCTGGCCCCCGACCGCTACGGGAGAAGCGAAACACGCCCCAAACCAACCATCCAAACCCCATGGCGGGGACATGTTTCGTGGCAAGTAATTCCACACAACCAAAATTCCTATGCAATAATCCGAACCCCTGGCGAAAGAAAACCCACGACCCCTTTGAACCGGGGATTATTCAAGAGATGCCCTTCGCTTGTCGAACCCTACCTCGCCCCGAAATAAAACACCAGACCACCCGTGAACACACGAGAAGGGTAAGATAATGTAGAGAATGCGATCTTTCCCATTTGGTAAAATTTGTCAGTGCAAAGCGACGTTGTCAGTAAACTGGTTTTGCTTCATTTCACCATTCTTTATGGTGAAGGAAACGGGTGGCGGTGGCAGTGTCGTTTTTGACGGGGGTGCAAACGTAAAAATATCCACCGTATTTTATAATGGAAACTGCCCAGTATCAACAATACCGTTTTATTTATTTATTTATTTATGGGGTGAATATCTTTTATTGCCTTTGGAATTCGGGCACGGGTCCCCCATTCAACCTTGGCAAGGGGGGGGAAGGGGGGAGTTAAAAGGTTGGTTTGGCCACAAAGAAGTTTCCATTATTCTATAGCACGAAGGTTTCTATGCAATTATAAATATTAAAAATTGGCATCCCGCCTCCCACATTTTAATCGGGAAATGGAAGGGGTTTTGTAAATGGAATTTTGGTATTTTTTACCTATTCTTATCGGGGGGAAATCCCCCCGGAAATTCCCCCCATTTCGGATCGAAAATTTTTTTTTCATCAATATCCAACCTATTGATTTGGATGGAATTAAAAACTTCCGATAAAGATAAAACTGAATTTTGCCGATAATAGGGCTTTTTAAATATCGACAACAAATTCTTTGCCCTATTCGAAAGGGATGCAAAATGCACAAAAATGAAATTTACCCACGCGTTTCTTGAAATCATGGCAATCAAATGAATCGCTATTTTCAATTTATCGTCTAGGAAATCCTTTTTTATATAAAATAAATTAAGAATCCGGTAAATAAACGTCATCGACCATTTAAAATGGTAACTAAAACTTGGGCAATTTGGAAATATAAAAGATAAAATCCGGAATCAATGCCGCCGGCGGCTAAAATATTCGAATAAAGTTTTCCAAAAAACACCAAAAGCGGGGGGGATGCACCAAACAGCAACCCGCTGTTCATCCAAAATGATAATAAAAGGTTTTGCCGCGCAACCGAGGCAACTGGGTTAAAATAATAATAAACGGCGTCCTTTGGGGAATTCCAATGGCCCATTTTTTCATTTCTCGGCGAAAACTGGCCTTCCTTTTTTTTGTGCGTTTTCGTTTTTTTATTGCCTTTTGAAAGCCTAAGAACGATGGTCCAAAACCCATTCGGTGTAAAATAAATCAAAAATCCTTTTAAGAAAAAAAATAATGAGTTCTAATAAAAACAGCTTTGTTTGAATAAAAAATTTTTCAGAAACTGAAAGGAATACATATCAAACCCCCTAAATGTTTGATAGCCGAAAAATGGCGACCCCTTTTGTTTCATTTATTTGACATTACTCTGTATAAAGTTTATTTTTAAATTAAAATATCCTGCATTTTTTTTTAATGTATGAAGAATTGCCTCCACCTTTTTTTTTGTCCAGGGAATGCGTCGCTAGTGGGCCTTTGGGGTGCGCAATTTGTCTAAATTTATTCCCATTCAACCTTAAAACCTGTTGATGTAAAGAAATCTTGAAAAAAAATACGAAAGCACTTAACATTTATTTTTCTTGACGTTATAAATATAAAAAGTACCAAAGGAATTTTCATAGTTTTCTTGCATCCACTCTTAAAGGGAAGCGCTTGATTTATTCTTGTTTATATGGAACAAAATAACATTTCCGCCGGTTATGAGGATGGCGTGGCAGAGTTTTTGCGCGAGCTCCACAGACTACAGAAAAATGCACATGAACAAAAGCAACTTTTAAAATGTCTTCAGGAGGACGAGAAAAAATTAGCTAAGATTCTGGAAACGGCGGCTGAAGAAGAATTCAAAACTGCATTACAGTGTGCCAAGGCAGAAGCAAACTTGTTGGAGTTGCGTGATTCGAATAAAAAACTTCAGTTTGATTTCGATAAGGCTAAGAATGATTGCATGAACTTCATGTTTCGACAAGACAAAGCAACTAAAGCATATCAAAAAATCTTTAATTCACAATGCGCATCTGAGGCACGCAGGGAGCGTCTCAAAGAAATTATAGAAAGCACTAGTTTACATCAAAATCCAAATTTACAGAAAATTTTACGAACTACAAAAATTCTCTTTAATAATGTATTCATTAAACATAATATTTGCAACATTATCAAGAAAGAAATTGGTCAAGTTTGTCATTTATGCAATCTTTCAATCATTCAGAATTCAACTTTTGAAGAGGATTCTTTTTGTAGGCTTGTCAAATGTTTTGAAAGATTTTCAGAGACTCTTTCTGAAGAGGAGCAAAACGTTCTCAAAACTTTACTAGGTTATAAATAAGTTTATTTCTATATCAATACCTTATTTTTACTGCTCTTTTTGTTTATTTATTATATAATTATTTACTGAACAATAAAATTCAACTAAGTTATATAAATGTGAATGTCAATGCTGTACAGTATTACACTTCAGATTATAAATTATTTTTATTACCAAATGGAAGGTCTTATAGAAATTACCATTTTTTTTTCAATGTTAAGATTATCGAAAGCCAGCTTAAAGGCCATTGTCTTATCGAGTTCTGGTATTAGCAGTAGAATAAGGCAACATGTTGCTCTGGAGGTTTCAAAGCTTTCTCGACCACCACATCTTGCAGTACTTCTTGTTGGTTCACGGCCTGATTCGCTTAGTTATATTCACCATAAGAAAAAGGCAGCAAAAGAGTGTGGTATACATTTTGAACTGATACATTTATCAGAAAGTATCTCTCAGGCGGCACTTCATCAAGAACTCAGTGAGGTAGGTAATAATCCTGCCATAGATGGTGTACTTTTGCAATTACCTCTTCCAAAACACTTGCATGTGACATCGTCTCTTTTTCATATTCATCCCAATAAAGATGTTGACGGACTGCACCTTATAAACTCCGGTAATTTGTTTCTTCGTGATAGAGTTTCCCTTACCGACTTTTTAGGATCGCAATTTTCTGAACAAATTATGGATGATAGTTTGCTTGAAGACACTATCACAAGTACTGGTTGTGGATGTTTTGTTCCACTTACGCGCCGATCACATGAAGACAATTATTTTGTTCCATGTACTGCGCTTTCTGTCCGGAGTATTTTGCTTTTTTATCTTTATAAAGAAAAAAAGATCTCTCCATTTGTGTCTGGAACCCCAATGTGCAATCTACATGTCGTAATAGTTAGCAAAAGCATGGTGGTTGGTATACCTACTGCAGCTTTATTGCAAAAAGAAGGGTTTATTGTCAGTATTTGTGATCGTAATAATTCACTTGACGACATACAAAGGATTATGAAAACAGGTGATATTGTTATTACTGCATATGGCCAAGCAGAAATCTTCGATGCCGACTTCTTCAAAAAGGGTGCTGTAATAATTGACGTAGGAATAAATGAGCTACTGGATGAGAAAAATGGCAACGTAAATTTATTATCAACAAGACGCAAAATATGTGGTGACGTTAATCTCAAGTCTGTTTTGGAAGTAGCTAGTGCCATTTCACCGACCCCTGGTGGAGTAGGGCCTTTGACAGTTGCATATTTAATGCAAAATATATTAAAGGCATCATGTCTACGAGATAGGGATGGAGTCTTTATGAACAATATATATTCATCATTTCTAAAAATGTATGAAACAGATGATACATCTAATCCGAACATAACACTTCTATCACCGCATCAATCTCTTATGGAAATTAACAGACAGGGAGAGAATGTAGATAACAGTAATTTCGAATTTTGACTTTTTGGTAGGTTTGCTCATGTTTTTTTTTACACCTTAAAAATAATTACCATTATTTAATTGGAGTATTTGTCTTGATTTGCAACACACATTTAAGTTATGATCGATGCATAATTTATTGTTATCATATTTTTGAATTATCCTATACTTATCATTTTTATTAGATCTTTTTCTATATAATAACAAAATTATGGATATCATTTTCATATTTTTCTCTTTTTCATATTGCATTGATGTTACAAAAATGAGCTTATCGTATTTTTATTTTGAGTAATTTTAATGAGAAAATATTTTCACTTTCTTTTGGAGCGGAAACATTTTCTAAGTTTCACTATTTCATTTATTTTTATCAGTCTTTGAATTATCTCCTTTTTTATCGCCACACGAATGAATATATATAGGATTGTTTATATTTTGGTAAAGTTACTCATTGTTTCATCGAAACGTTTTTTTCAGTCCGTTTATGGCAATGGGACATACTTCTATCAATGTTTTAGGCTTGAAATCAACTGCGCAATGTCTTAAAGGGAAAGTTTTTCCAAAAAAATAATTATAATATCGCTTGCTTTCCTTCCTCATAAATTTATATTGATATATATATGAATGAATATCTTGTTCATGATAAAAAAAATATTTTGTAGTTACTTTTCATTAAATCACAAAGTCGACTCTCTGCTGTCATTTCATATATATATATATATATATAATAGGCACCTAATTTACAGGCATGTTATTCTGTTAACTTTATTTTGGAATACCTCAAATGTTACTTATTAATATTCACACAAAGTGAATCACAATGATGCGACATATTTTGCTGCATAAATGTGAAAAAGGTAGATTTAATCAAGTGTGCCTACGTCATAATGTAGTTCGAACTATGCAAGGTGTATTTGTCATATCCACACAAATTTAAGGTTATCATTGCCTTCTTTGTCGATATCATTGTTTAAATGTAATTAACTCTTACTTTAAAATTAATTTAAAAATGATAATTTACCAAACTGCCTGTAACTTCAACAACTTCAATATCGTTGATGATGTATTCTGGTTATCCAAATTCAATGTCGTGGACTATGAATTTTAGGAAGTGATGGTAAATACCCTCAACTTTATTAGCATCTACAAACAATTGACTGTGGTCCTGGCGACTAATATTCCTGTGGATAATATTCGACAATGTCTTTAGGAAGGGCAGTAAGATGAGAAATTGTAAGCAATTGAATACATTTAGCGCTTATAATATTATTTATATGCTCCTATGTACCATTTTTATAATACCTATACCATCTTTATACATCTGGTATATCATTCATTACACTTTTGATGTGCTTCAAGAAAATTATAAGGCCAATAAATATGTCGTTCAGTTTATACTAGATGTTATGTATTGAAGCGCTTCTGCAGTTTTAAAAGTACCTTGGAAGTACAGTATGGGTTGCTAAGAAAGAACTGACTAGTATGTTTACTCTTCTAGTAAAATGCCTTGCATATATACTGTCTTTAAAAGTCGTAGATTTCTGATATCTTGAGGCTCTCTTTGAGTAGTGTTTTTGCACATTATTCTTTTGATGATTGCACTTATTCTTTAAGCCATTCATATCTGCATGACATGACTGACAAACTTCTTCTCAAGCTTATTATTATATATACATCTATAATGTAATCATCCTTTTGTTAACTAGAGTAAGAAACATTTATCTGATATTTTTTATGGGTAAGTTGTCTTGACAAAATTTAACATGTTATCCAACCCAGTGAAATACGTGCCTGAATTGTTTTCATATTTCACAGTTAATATGTCAAATGTAAACTGGTCAATTTTAGGAAGGTTCTCCCATTAGTTGAGTCAAAAATGAGTTGACGACTGTGTGCTAATATCAGATATGAATACTCAATTTAAAATTCATAACACATTTGGACCTTCTGATTTTTAATTTTGTCTTTTAAGCCTCAGTACTGTTAGCTTTTGAGCTGGCATATTCTACAACCATCTTTTTTCTATATTTATTGCCGTTGGAAAAAGAAACTGTTTCATCCTTCACCGATACAGTTTTGAATACTATATTTTTAAAATCTTATGAAAAACATGCTGCTCTCTACTGTTGCTATGGAAAGGGAGAGGTAACTTTGTTAAGATACCATTTTTGTCATTACGAGTTTCTTTTTCTCAATTATTTCTCATATATATGACTGTATTGCAGACAGAGTAGGTAAGCGCAATATATATATATATATATATAACAAGTAAAGTATCATGAATTAAATTTTTATATTCATCATGGCTAATTTTTTTTATATATTCCAATGGTAGTAATATTTTTATTCTTTTTTTAAAATACATATTCTGGGCATTAAACAATTTAGTTTTAGGCCATCCTTGTACACTCTTCATGATTTCAGTAATTTATTTGTTATGCGCATCATCATTTTTATTCTTACACTGAACTCGTATATTTATTTACCATTGAAATAACATTATGGTCCCATGGTTTCGGGGTACAATTAAAAACTTGTATGATTCTAGATTTCTTTATTGACATTTAATTCCTTTTCTTTAAAAATGTTTTCTGAAAGCAGCCGATCTTGTTTTAGGAGCTCATAGAAAAAAAACAGTGACCACTTACGTACTAAACAAGCGTTAGTGATCATTTTTTTTTTTTGATTAATTTACTGATCAAAATTATTCGCCATTACATATCAATGGATGATAAACAATTTAACATCAGGCGTCTCCAGAGCCTATTTCCACAACTATCCACTGCACAAGCATGTGATATCCTTGAAAGGCACAACTGGAACTTAGAGTCTACACTGAAGGAGGCTGAAAGCTCTACTGTCAAAGTTTCTAATTTATGTACTAACACTGAAAATAATCCCGTACGTGGTAGTGAACACGGATCTGCCCAACAAAAAGATACGTCACATACAAACGCGACGATTCCAGGTGGTCGTGGTGACATTGAAAAAGTTTTGGAGGGCCTTTTCACCCAAGCAAGTCAGGGAGGTATCGATAAAAATTCTGGGATTGAGCCGCAGAATGCTTTCTACGGTCGTGGTAGACGTCTTGGCCACACGGAACACCCTAGCCCCTATATTGCCTCCACATTGAGACAACAGCGTGACGTTTCTATTACCCTTTATCGCAATGGTATCTCCATGGATAATGGGATGTTCATAGCTATGGACAGTCCTGAAGGGAAGGAATTCTTGGAGACAATGCACCAAGGCTATATTCCTTCGTCGTTGGCATCCCAATATCCGGATTGTGAGCTTAATGTCACTTTGCTGGACCGCCTTGAGTTGGATTACAAACCAGTTTCGTACACTGCTTTCAAAGGTGAAGGTCATTGCCTTAGAGCAAAAGAAGGGGCTTCTTCCACAGCTGGAGGGGAATTCAGGTTTGATGCTTCTAGAAGCTTTCACTTCGAGCCTAGCGAGGACACTTCATTTATTTGTATGCTCAATACACAGGGGGAACGTCGAGAGTTCAAGGTTAACCCATTTCGACACACGGTAGAGGATGTTTACCACTTAGCGCATGGTCTTCAGCCTGATTTGGAACGCTTTTCATTAGTTGTTCGAAGCATACCACCGTATAATCTCGAAAACTCGATGCGCTCACAAACAATTCAGGAGGCCAAGCTGAGTCGGGCGGTTATCACAATAAGACCTTTCTAAAAAATTAGCGATATTTTTAGTCATTTTAGTGGTATCGTTTTCTCTCTTTTTTGCAAAGTGATTTTATTGTAGATATATCTCAAGGAAGAGGGTTTGAATAAATTCCATTTTTACGTTTTGCACTTTTAAGTTTGCAACCTTTTCTTTGATTTTTTTTTGAGTAATGAGAGAGTTGAGTAAAAAGAGGTTTAGCCATCTCTTGATTGGCACTGCTTTTGTTTTGTCATTTCTCTTTTGTTTTTGATACAGATAGTGTGCTTGAGTCAATGCACTACACATGTTGGAGAGGCGCCCAGAGCTTGGTTACCGGCTCTTTTGATTCAGTTTTGAGTAAAGGCAACTGGAAAGCGTTAAGAAGTAAATTCACTATTGCGAACACGAGGACAGCCGCACAATCGCACTCTATTATTCCAACGAGGCATTTCCAAAGTAGTCTTCCACGGCTCCCCATTCCGCCTCTCAGTGGGACGCTTCACAGGTATGCAGCAGCGGTGAAAGCGTTAATACCGAGTGCACAATACGAAAAAACGATAAAACTGATCAAGAGTTTTGAGTTGAAGGAGGGGCGTAAACTACAAGAGGAGTTGGTACACACGGATCGAGTCAACAAACACACGTCATATATATCTTCAGATCTATTTGAGTATAAGTTTAAGAAACGCGACCCACTCCCGATTCATCATCACACATGCATCTTTGTGCGACCACTGAAAAAGGTAGATGATATGTTGATGCGAGCAACACATTGGATTACGCAGAGTGTGGTATTTTACAACCTCTATCTAAACAACACCCTTCGACCTGATATCTTTTACGTAGGTAATACCAAGAACGCCTACTATCATCAGGATTGGTTTGATCGAACGGTGGCACTGTGTCCTGGGTATTTTAGTGCGCCTTTCATGACAGCCATTTCGAATCATCATGCTTTTCCTTTAGATTTATCGCAGAACGATACCCTCTTTAATAGCACTCGTGTCCCTGGTGTCTTACAAGACGAAATCCATGCTGTCGGCTTCATGCCGCACATCATTGTGCAACATCGCGGTCACCAGTTTAGCGTCACAGTTGCAACTGAGGAATGCAACCCACTTCCAGAGGAGGAGATTTATGCACGACTGAAGGCGATTGTGGCGTTAAACGTCTTCCCAGCACGGGTGGATGTAGGTATTTTTACGTCATTGCCACGGAGTGACTGGAGCGTTGTGCGGAACATGTTGCTTCGTGATGTGGTGAACACAAGAAGTCTAGAACAAATAGAGACCAGTATGTTTGTCCTAAACTTGGATGATGAGATGGAGGACGGAAATGGGGATTTTACGTTAGCTCCACAAAAGGCTGCAAAACTGCAGATGTCCAAGAGCATTAACCGATGGTGGGATAAAAGTTTTTCTGTCAACGTAGCACACGATGGGTCCCTGAGTGTGAGTTATGAGGAAAGTTGGTGTGACGGCGCTGCTGTCCGGAGATATATCACAGATGTTCAAAATCAATGTGCGCAGAGCAGTGGTGACACATCAACAATTGACTCAGATTTAGCACCCAATGAACCAATTCAGCAGTTGAGTTGGTGTATTCCAGCGGATCTTGAGCAAGTCGCCTTAAAGGCACGCAGCCGTCTCGAGTACGAGGCTAATCAATTAGATCTCTATGCTGATGTTTTAGACAACTTGCCTACACGGTCTTCACTTGCTTTATCAAACAGAGGTCTTACTATGGATGCACTTTTACATCTTTCCCTTCAATTAGCCTGGTGGCGGTTGTATCGTAGCACGGTGTCCTCCGTGCAGCCGCTGAATTTAGGCATCTTCCGTCGTGGTCGCACGGACTACATTTATACTGCTACGGAGCTTAGTCAAAATTTTACTATTGCTTCTATGGCTAATGCAGTAGATGACGTTGCAAACCTACCAGCTTCAACGGCAAAACTGTGCTTTCAAGCTGCACGAGAGTATCAAGAGGCGGTTAAACTTGTTATGCTTGGCAACGGTATCCATAATCATCTATTTGCCTTGAATATCATATCGAATCGCTTTTACGGCCGTACACCGCAGTTGTTTTTGGGCGATACTTACACTACTTTGTGCGAGCCCAAGCTTTTCATGACGGAGTGTTGCTCTCTCGCAGCGGCAGCGGCCTTAGTAACACCACGGAAGGAAGGCTATGGGATATCGTATACACGTGTTGGTAATGCTTTAGTGTTAATGATATCGACCTGGAAGAACGTTTACAGTCCTCAAAGCGATGCAGCGGAGTTTACCGAGACGCTAATTCGTTCCATCAAGGATATCTACAATTTATTTCAGATCCCCTCAAAATGAACAAGTTATTCTTGCTAAGTACCTAGACAGTTTTGTTTTAAACTGATCTCAATTAATGTATCTTATCAACCACACCCAAGGAGAAATCCGTGCTTATAAATCGACATATCCACTCAGTGGTACAGATTCTGTTACTTGATTTTAAACCGTGAAGTGATAATCATATCGGCTGTATCTATTTGCACACACCCGGAGCAGCTAAAGCGGAAGATCAAGAGGCTAGACTAAAAATTGATCCTTTTTATCCTTTTTTTTCTTTACTTTACTTTTCATGTTAATGAAATGGCCGAAAAAGTTCTTATACAAACGTGAATTAATTATTGCTGACTGAGGATTATACCTTTAATAAATACCAAATATCTAGTAAAAAAAAGAGGGTATCGTGGTGGTATATAGACATCTAATATCCTTGATATTATAGGTTTAAACCTTGACGCGTGTGTTCATTTATTATTATTATTATTCCTGCTTTTGTGTATACCTATGCCACCCAAAAAGAGGACGGTAGCAAAATCTGGTGCTGGAACTGATGCCTCTCTTGAGCATGAAGAGACCTCAGATATCGTAACCGATCTTCCAGCGTCAGGTGAGACTCTATTAGCCAACGGCGATAACCCCGCAGCAATCTTTGCACAACTGCAGCAAACAGTGGAGGGAGACGCAACGAAAATCAATAACCACCTGGGCTCTTTGATGAGCCTTGTACAAGCCGCCGAAAATTCACAAACTTCCATTTTTCTACGCGTGCGTTTCCTAGAATTGATCGCCAGGTACGTGGTACACATTCGTGACAACAATGCACTCAAAAAGATTGTTACTTCGCTCATCAAAATTATCGGTGGTGACGATAATACGCCTCAGCTGCTGGTGGCCGCCTTGCAGTGCTTCAGTGGACTCGGTTCTGTTTCGATGCTGGAAAAACAGTGGGAATATCTTTCTCGTGAAGGTGCGGATATTCTCATGCAGGTGATAATCGATAAAGAGGCTTTCCCAGAGCCAGTGCGCCAGGCCGCGCGCAAGTCATTGGATGATCTTACCGAAAGCGCGTTCCAACCGGTGGTGACCAAACTCCTGCACTGGCTCAGCGACGATCGGGAGGATGACGAAGAGGAGCAGCTTTTGAAGGAGCGTCACATGGCGCTTACTGTCCTCAATCGTCTTTCACGAATGGTGTCGTTGAAGTCTCAGTGGACGGAGGAAGTCCAAGAGCTTGTATATAATCTAATCCTACGTATCCTCGATGTTGTGAATGTGCGCGAGTTCTCGCAGTTGGCTCGCATAGCGGCGCACTTGCCTATCATTGTTGCAAAGGGTGGCGGTAATTTTCTTTTAAAGTCGTACTTGTCTAACCATAAACTCGACAGCAATCGCCAGTTGGAGGCTGTCGTGATTCTTGGCCGTTTTGTACAGGTGAAGGACCAAAGTGATGAGCTCGATTTGACCCCTGCTTTGGAGGCTGCTGGCCTTCTTGCCCATGAAATTGACGCTCAGAGCGAGCACGGATATTTAAGCGCACGTATTGTGCTTTTGACTGCACGATTGGCTGGTTCTGATACAGCTGAAAAACTTCTTTCATTTATTTTTCATAATTTGATGCACCTGTTGGGTGCCGACGGCACATCGTTGCCTGAAAACATCTCCACTCTAGAAGCCTTGTTGTTTGCCATGGTCGCGATCGCACGCAAAAAGCCCATAGAAGTTCTTCAGAAAATACACGAAGAAAATTTCAACGCATCTATGATCAACCTCATGAAAGCAATGACATCGCTAGAAAATCATACACTCTTTTCGGTGAAGAAGTTGGTGATGAAGAAGGAGGCCAAAGATACCGATGCGGAGATGCTGACATGCTTGCATAACATCTGCGTGATTGCGGGTAGCGCCTCCTCTAAGCATTTACCTTTGATCGAGCTCAAGGAAAGTTGGGCGGAAAGGCCAAGTCTATCGGTATTGAAGCATACAGGATCAACAGGGGGCCGCACCACGGCGCTGTCGCTACCACCTGGTACCGCTGCGTCGACATCTGTCCTTCGAAATTCGCGCGGCGGTCCTCAAAAACGACAGCGATCACAAATGGGCCGTAGTACATCCAATGGGGGCATGATACGGTCTCGTCGATAGAGGATAAGGGGGAGACTTTGGTGAGGACAAATTAAATAAAAAAGCGGGGAAGCTAATAATACAAAAAGAAGCTAAAGGATTGCAAAAAATATTGTACTCGGAGGGCAACCCGACGAAAATATTAGAGTAGAAACCTCCTTTCGTTTGGTCTCAGTGAAATCTAAATTACATTTCTCTATTAGATGGGATGGTTCTGAGTAGAATTTTCACACCACTTCATCTGTAACTTCCGTTTTTCTACGTTTCTATACCAAATTCCTACTCATATATGTGTGTATCAGTTCTTAAGCAAATAAGTGAAATAATAGTAAGGTACATGCTCTTTCCCTAATGTGGATGGGGAGGAGAAAGACAACAGGCTACAGTGTGTAATCAATCCAAGAGTGCTGGCCATAGTGCACGATAACTACCGAAAATTGTTTATTTTCTTCTCTAAAATGTAGTTAAAATAAATGTCTTACGTTTCATATTTTTGCTTAGTTTAAGCTCATGTAGGAAGCATCTTGGTTAGCACCTTAACTTCGGACACCACCTTTAGTATATGTTAAAAACACCCGCAAAAAACGAAACTTTGTCTAACAAAAGTATAGAAGGTTTCTCTGATTTCTTAAAGGAAACTTCCAAGAATAATTTTCTTATTTCGGCTTTTCCAGCGTTTGCTAGTGGTGCGACACAAGCTATTCTATTCAATCCAATAGACCGCGCTTTGTACATACGAGTGCAACATCGACGTAAAAATTTCATAGACAGGAGAAATTTTCAACGCCCGTTTCAAAGCTTTTTTAATGCTGCAGTGTATCGAACTCTTGTCAGCGCTTCTTATATGTTTTGGCAGGATACCTTTGTCGTGTATATCAGGCGCTATCTGCCATGTTTTTTTCATGCTAGTGAATCACCCCGGCTTAACTCATTTATAGTCGGATTAGCGGCAGGCTCTATCAGTGGTTGCACGCTGAATGTATTACAGGCAATAAAGTTTCGTATGTGGAGTTTAGACTCGAAGCGCTCTTCTTTTTTCAGAACAGCATGGCACATGTACCGAGAGGGCGGGGTGTTGGTTTTTTTTCGTGGCTGTGTTTCGACCATCGCGCGGGATAGCGTATTTGGAGTGGTCTACGAAACGACGCGGAATGTCAATATCTTGCAAAAAATTAATGACCGATACCTTAATGGTCTCTTCGGTTTTCATATGTCGTCCCATAAAAGTGTAGGGATGAAAATTTCAGCAAGTAAAGAAAAGGCCTCAGAAATGACTGGCCCCACATCTCCCGTATCACAGACAGACACTCGGGACAAGAAGCAATTGTCTCTACAAAAGGAGGAGGAGGGCCCAAGGCGTAGTGAGACGGGTTTTCTTTCAAATATGATAGCAGCTACTATGGCCTCAATTATTTCTTCACCGTTTAATTATGTACGTTCTGTTGTCTACGGGACCCCACCGCGTGCCGCCCCACTCAGCTACAAAATGCTTCACCGTTCTTTTTTAATACAATTACTCTATGTTTACCGTAAAGGTGAGAGCTACATCGAAAAACACACTTCGCCAAATTGCATGAAGATAGGGTACGATGGCAGAGTGGTTCCAGTTGTGCATTTTCATTCCCTGGAGTCCTCACCAGCGCGACTACGTCCTATTTTGAATCAATTCTTCTTTTCGAGGGAGTGGATATTATCCTGGACTAACTTTCATCACCCCATGGCAGCATGCCAATGGGCGAGTAGCCGATTAAATATCGGGTGGGGTTCCATACGCGTGGGTTTAGGTATGGCCATTGGCCAAGGTACATTTCACTTGATACAGGATAGTATTCTAAAATTGAATCATATTGTACACTAAAACACTTTTGCTTACATTTGTTCATGCACGCAAGCCCCTTAAAAGTGTTTTACTATGTTGAGGGTAGTTTGAAAATTATATTTCTTAATTAATACATTTTTAACTATTTGAATACTTGAAATAATAAGTAATATCTAGTTTGGGTACATTTTTTCTGTATCGTGAAGGAGGCGTATAAATGTGATATTTATGTCTATCTATCTATCTATCTATATCTATCTATATAGATAGATAGATATATAAATATAGATATATACAGATATTAGGAGAATCAAGTATTTCTGATATTTAATTTCTTAGTATCTTTCATTGTCCTTTTTCAACTTCATTAACCTATAGTAAGGCTTCATTGACAAAGCTGCTTTGACTTTCATTGACTTCATTTTACCATCTTTTAATACTCTTTCGCGTACGTGAAGCAGTAACTTAGGTTGATTATTCTCCGCAGCGTTTTTTAAAGCGTTCATTTTTTTATTATTTTAGTGATTATTAGGGTGCAACTAAACAGTAAGAATCCTTGCTAGGTCTTCATTAATGAATCCTAGATTTAAGACAGGCTTCCTTATTTACTTTAGCACCAAACGAGCCCTGTGGAGATATTTTCATCCACATGTACTGGTAGTTGTGTATCCCCATAAAGTATTTTATGACGCGTTAACCGAGTCCCTCAGAAGGATTTCTCTTTCTCAAACCTCTTTACGGTTAAATTCTTCTGAGAGAAAGCCACCCATTTCCAGTGAACAAGCGCCGGTGGATATGAATAAGAATGTTGAGACCTCCCTCCAGGGAGTACTGAGACGTTCGGGCCCCATTCCATTATCCAGAATCAGCTGGTACCTCGATGATGATTCCATGGAGTTTCTTTCTACTTACGCAGGCGGCCCAATGGCTTTTTGCAGCCGATATCCTAAACTTTTTCATGTTGTAATCCTTCCTAATCGCATTAATGTTTTACTCGGCTATGAGGAATTTTATTATATACCTTTCGTAGACCGGAAGATGTGCATGTGGGTAGCGGCAGTTCTGGTGACGGCTTTTTATATGCCGAAAGCCATTCCCCTACCCGTCACACCAACTACTGTACAACTGTATCAGTACATGCAAGGCAACAAGGATGAAGTTCTTTTACATGGCATAACTAAAATTTCTCAACAAGAGTTAAGATTGAAACTGCGGTATTATAATCAACTTTTTGTCTACAACGCCGATCGCCTCTGCTTGGCTCGCCATCGCTTCATTCTCATGGGGAATACCTCTGAAGCCGTTGCCCAAGCTATGGGTATCTCTAAAAAATTGGCACCACCCACTATTTCTTCCTCTACTACTGTGTTCACCCATGCCTTTACCCCATCTATTTCAGGCGCACACTATGGTTCGGACAGGAAGAGTCTTATCGATTTCATCAAGGCGCACGTCCCTACTACTTTTTTCGTCCCTTTGACGTATCTTTTGCAATGCCCGGATGCAGAGCGGACTTTTGGAGTGGACTGCACCTTTGAGGCAGTGCGGGCGTCTATTACTGATGGAGATGTGAACGAATTTTTTTGTATCCAAGTGCTTGCCCCAACATTGAAGGGTACTTATGTGCGCCGATTGAAGCCTGATGATGCAGACTGCTTTTATAGTGAAGAGGATCCCTCTGATGAAAAGAGGGCTGTGCTCAGAGGCGCAGTAACGGGTGAAGTTAAGCCGCAAAAGCACCAACCACCTGAGATAGCAGCTCAAGCGTACAACATTTTTTCTATAGGGAATAAAATAACCCAGGAGCTTATTCAGTTCCAAACTCAAAGTGAACTCAACCACATACGCCTAGTAAAGGGTGTAAGTATGGTAGAACTACAGTCTGAGATTCTCTCCAAGGATCTTGTCAAGGAGATTGAAGGCTTTTTGGGGGCCGACAACCTACCGAACTTAGGCATTTTCTATCTTTTGATATTTGATAGGCTACGTCACCTTTTTGATGTTGACACGCAACAGGGCTGTGTTCGTCCATGGGCGCTGCTACGGTCAGAGGAGCAGCCTAGCAGTCTTACAACCACAACTACACCTTTGCCCTTGGTCCTGCACAGTCTGCAGCAGCAGCTATCGCGCGGACCTCTGGCTACAAGTGCCCTATACAAAAACCTCTCGATATTCTGCCGGCGACAGCTCCTAACTTTATACCACCAAGATTCGTGGATGCAGATCTCAAGGACGGCGCTAGACACACCCGATGCAATTTCTCGTGGATGCAACTCGCTCCGAACTTTTGTGAATAAACATTCGTTGTATTTTGTTCAACGGGGGGATGATTTGCTGTGCAGCTCGGCGTACCTAGCAACTGAAGTGACCAAATCAGTATCCTTTAGGTCAATTGATTCTGACTATCCTGTTCAGCAGCGCAGGAAAAAAATCACAGATTTCGAGATGGCGGAAATGATCTACAACATTCTTCCTCAGTGTGAACCAGTCTTGTGGAGAAACTTCTGCACATCTCGAAAGGTAAAAATGACTCTACCTTTTGACGCCCTCAAGTTGCGTAAGGACTTCTTTAACCGCTTTAAATCTTACTTTATTACTTGCGACGCCTTTTTCACAAATCGTTTGATTGTGGGACGCGCAGATTGTGATGTTCCTCCATTAGACGTCCTACAGCCGCCACTAAAGACTATTGAATCGATTATCAAATTCATTGCCCTCCATGCCATTGGTGGTGTAACGGAAATCGAAATCATGAGCGCTTTATCTAAGGAAGGCCGCGTTTTCATGAAGATGTTTGGGTCTTGTGCAGACCTGGTGAAGAAGCTTCCAGAATGGTTCGAAGTTCGCCGAGGCATTTTTCACCAAAGCAACTCTATTATCACTTATATCGGCTCAGAAAACAACTCTCTTGAGGAAGAAGACAGCTATTTCGCCGAATTTTTGCCGTTACGGAAGAAATTGAATAATGCTTCCTTGGCAACAGCGCCGTCCGATACCACAGGACTTACCAACCCATAGGATACTGAGTTGTGCTAAGTGTATAATTAAAAGAATATATCGACACATACTTTTCAATGAGGTACAAAGTCTATTAATATCTTGATTATTATTATGATTGGTCATTATTATCCCTTTAAATTATTTTGTTTACTTTTAAATATGTGTCATGATCTAAACATTCCCTCCTCTTTCGTTTTTTTAATTATTTGTTTGATGAGTTAGAGTAACCTAACGTCGGAAACGCGAAAAAGGAAAAACATGCGCCGCTCAGTCTTTTACATGGGCCGTAGTTTTACCCGGCGACACCTTAACACATGCCGAAGCCCCTTGGCAACGGGATATATTCGGCCGACTTGCTTTTCATTCACCACTAAGGGATTGGCGTCTTCTCCGTTGCTGACAAGTGTGTTGCTTAGTTCATGCAACTCTTCGGGTTCTTTGCTGCCGTCATCTGGTAGTATGGAGGGTAACCTTAGCCAAATTCTAGCTACTGTTCTTTCACAACGCTCTCTGTCGTCGATTGGGTTAAATGTAATTTGCATTCGAAATATAGCAATGTGTATAGCATGCGAAAGAGTATTATGCGGAGTTGTGAGTCAATCACTGATCGTTTGTAATAACGAAAGTTAATAGACCATTGCACTAAAGCGACAACTGACCAAGTTAGACAAAGTGTATTGCTGCTGTTATAGGTGTTCCTCCCTCCCCTTCAGCAGCTTTAGCGCACTTTTTTTAAACTAAAGAACATATTTCTCTCATTTTCCGTCTCTTGAATCACTTTTCTATTATATTTCACATTCTTAGGTCTTTTAGGCTAGTGCATGAAAAGAGAAAAATGGTTTTATTAATGTGGAACTTGTTTAGGATTCGCTAATCCTTTCTTCTCTTCGTTCTGAT